ATGCAAAAATGGTTCAAAAACAACAATTTTAAATAAGGGTTTTAATGAAGAACAACTGGCCTAAAATTTTGGAATTTTAGTGCTTATGGTTGGCCCGGTTAAACCTGCCACCTCCCCCAGGATCCGCAGGTCAACAAGCATATCACACAAATCTGGGACCTTGGGACCAGGTATTTAACCCCAGAGGATCTAGAAGGGATTGACCCAAAGAACATGTGGATCTGTTTGGTTCTCTTCGGGCACTGTTCTCAGACCCAAGTTTTTCAACCCTTGCCTTCTCTTCAACTGCTTGTCCCTTTCCATCTGCCTGGGCACGGGGCAAAGAGAGGGCGCCAACAAGATTGCGTCATTTCCGCAAAATTAGATTGATTATACAACTAATCGAAAGTTGGCTTCTTGAATTTAGTTTATTTTTGAATCTTCCATTGGTTTTCACAGGCAATCGGTTTTACATGTTTTCATTAGTGGAGTCACTTCTTCGTCAACGCATTCGGAAACTTTCAACTACACCTCGGTCTTCTGATCCACCTGTGTCGCTGCCGCATCGTCCACCTACAGTTTTTTGTCAAGAGCTTGGATCGACCGTTAATGGAGCGTGGTCAAGTTATTAATGTTGGCTGCCTAATAATAAATACCCCCCCTATTTTTTTTTTTGGGGGGGGGTCAACTTTCCTATAATAATCTATTTGTGGGAATCTATAGCTGAACTCATAAGACTCAGCTGGACATTCTGATCGAACCTCATCTGCCACCTCTCTGAGCACTCTGAGCACAAAAGTCTGAGTGTTGGGGTTTGGGAATCTGTCTGGATGCCCTCTGGAACATGACTCTTTTGGCAATACTAAAAGTAAATAGAGCTAATTGACTTTTAGTATTGGAGAAAAAATTGGAGTTGGAAAAAAAGTTTCTACTATTGCCATGTTGGGTCCACTATTGGCCATGCCCTCTGGACAAGGTCTGAACATGACTCTTTTGGCAATACTAAAAGTAAATAGAGCTAATTGACTTTTAGTATTGGAGATAAAACTGGAGTTGCGGAAAAATGTTTCTACTATTGACAAGATATCACTATTGGTCAGACAACATTAAGCAACAGTTGGGCTTGTGAATCTTGGGCTGAAGGTTTTAAGCATCATATCCCGAAGTAAGCTGTTTTATGTTGAAATGTTGGGACCCAGGTTTTCACCTCTAGGTTAGCGTTAAACTTCAAAATTGCGATTATGTTAGGTTAGGCCAAGGTTTTCAACCCTGCCTTAAAAACCCTTAGGCCCTAGGAATGCAGCCACCTAGAGGTGGTGAATACCTTGGCACCAGGCTAAGGTGCACACCGAACCCCTATCCAAATACACCATCCCCAAGCAACTACCATAAACATCCATAACCGGGTTATTAAAAAACATTCCCGTGATAGTGGTCAGTGATATTGGCTTTAAATCATGCCGCCCGCTCTATGCGCTGTTGTGTGGCCACTGTGTGGCCTGGAATGGCGCTCATGCCATGACCATCCTGTGGGAGGCATCATATCTATGCCATCGGTACCTGCGAGTGCGAAAAATCTTTAGAAAAGTCCTTGATTTGGTCCAGCAAGGCAGGGCAAAAGGGGGCCTGGAAAGGAAAACTGATCGGATTTTTTGAGCGGAATCTTTAACTCTGGCTGAGATATCCAGAGTTAGAAGTTAGGAATGTTTAATATGTTCATGGCCTAGACATTGTAGATATCAATGGTGTGTAGTTGATATAGTCTAGTTATGCACATTGATTTAAGCTGTTGATGATCCAATTTGGGATGGCACAAAGTGATGATATGTGCCGCAAGCAAACTTGGATGGTTGTTCTGAACGCGGCATGAGTTGAGGATTCAAACTTATGATGTCCATTTCATTTGTGTGTCCCCGGGACTTAAATCGTGACCCACTACGTTATATTAAAGGTTGAAGTGGGGAGATCATGGGGTACGCAGTATGGCATACGATATTTGCGGTTTGTGCAAAATTGGGACCTCCCATATCCGTCAGTTCATGTTTTGCTTATATTATTATATATTATTATATGCCTGAGTGTGTTTTGAAATTGTCCTGGCTCAGCAATTCCATATTTTCATATCACTTGAACGCCGAGAGGTCGTCAATGTTTTTCCATCTCCAAGTGGGATGTAACCCAGTTATCATAGTGCATTCTTCGGGGGCCGAAGTCCCTGGTGTTTGAAGACAGAATGGTTTTGTGGAGGCCATGGGTTCTCCATTAATATACAATTATATACATACATATATAACATTTCAATTATAGTATATAGACATATGTATAGTATATACACACATGTATATATATATATGCATACGTTATATATGATTATTGTATATGTATGGCTTGACATGGTTGGTCACCGTTTGAAATGAGTACTAAATGCGTCAATATGTGTCAATTGTTGTGGGTCCGGTGATTTTCACACCAGGCGCGTTGGGAGCGGCAGATGCAGGACTATTTCGGACAGGACCCTCTCGGGGCGTCCTGGTGGGGCGCTGCTGGTCGTTCCGAAAAAGGCCATGGTTGTGATGGGAGACAAGGAATCCTGGGGTTTCCATAAATGGAGCTACAAAATGGATGGTTTTTTTCATTTGGACAATGTTATATTAACCTATATTAACCTATTACAACATGGATATTTGGCGGTAGCCCCATTTCAGGAAACCTCCAGATAGCGGTCCAACTGAGGACTATCGGATGATTGGTTCGAACACCATGAGTTGGGCGCTCAGTCGGGTTGCGACCAGGTCGGTGGTTCAATGGGATTCCCTTTGAGTCATCAAAATGGCTGGGAAATCGCTCTAGAAATGGAGGTTTTATTAAGGGAAGATCATCTATAAATGGAAGATTATCCTTCTTTCCATGTTTGATTGCCAGAGGGTATGTTTCTTTTCTCTTATTGTTGACATATTGGGGAGTTGAACTATTGGGGAGTTGAACAGGACTGATGGTTTTTCAACAATGATGACCCCGATTGATTTGGTTGCCGACACGACTGCGTGCACGGAGGCACTCTGGCTTTGTTCTGCATCGGTTTTAGCTCTATCTTTGTTGGTTAGCCCTGCCTGTTTCTGCCATTAGATTCTACCCAGCCACTTTGGTTAGTTGTCTCCTCATTCCTCACCGATCGGTGATATCCCCACGTTTCATGGTCATGCCCCCGGAGAAAAAAACCGTCGAGCATGTTCTCTTGCTTCTATCACTCCCTCTTTGAAGATGTGTTGGCCACCTGTTGATGTTTACATAGCTTGATTTAATTTTAGTCTGATGGCCTGCTAGTTGGTTATCAAAAAGTCAACTAAATTTAATCATCAAATCATCAAAGTATAGTCTTATCTGTCTTATCAATTTTTTAAATCATGTTTTATCCACTTTTCCTTGATCTGCCAATCTTTGGTCCTCCTCTTCTTCATATGTGGATCTGATATGATCGTGACCTTGCACAGCAGCCGGCTCTATACTCCCCAGTCAACTTGTACGTTCTCGTCCATTTTTAGAGTTCTTACTTCAAGAACTCTACTTACATCTATAGTATACCATCAGTTTGGCGCATTTAATCCATAACTAATCCCTATCATGGTTAGTTGTCCCTAGTAATCCCCTATGAATCCCTATAGATTTAATCCCCTATGAATCCTCACAGCTAAGCCATGCGCTGTCGAGGTGCCGTTCATTTGATGGTCTTCCTTCATCGCACCTTGTGGAAATACTGTGCAGAGGTTGTAACGTGTCATGCCCGGGCACCTGGCGGATCCGGGCAAAACGTGTCATGGAGCCTTGGGCTGTCATCAAAGATGGCTGTGGGAAAGGTGCCGTTGACGATTGCTAAGTTGGTGAGCGGTAAATTCTATGGTTTATTGTAGAATATTGTAGAGATATCAGTGGGAAGATGTCCGGAACTTTTTAGGACAAATGGATTTTCCGGAGAAAACGGTTGATTACCGGAGGGTATAATGTAAAAGCTAAATCGCGGTATGGTTTTCAAAGCGACAGAAATTGAATTGGAAGGCACAAAATCCTTCTCCAGTATCTTGAGATGTGGCATGTTGGGCCACTGATATCACTGATTCTTAGGTTTCCCTAAAAAATAGGTTACTGTATCCTAAAACATCATATGGAGGTTGCGTAAAATGGTGGTACCCCAAATCATCCATTTTAATCGTTTTTTTTCCAATATTATATAAACCATCCAGCTATTGGGGGTATCTCCCTTTTAGGACACCTCCATATTTTCATTCATATCCATTATCTTCATATCATTTCATATCCATTTCTCAGATAATCATCATGAAAATCACCATGAAAATCACCATGAAGCACCATTAATATCCATTATCACCATTAATATCAATATCCATATAATATCCACCATTGACATTCATTTTTCTCCCCTGAAAATGGCAATTTTTTGAGGATTTCCGTATCGCCAGGTGGCCACGGGCTTTGCCAATGTCATTGGCAACAAGGGCAGCACTCAGGTGGAAAGATTTCACGGTTTGTAAACACGTCAACATACATAGACTAATTATATGTAGTACACAGTAGATCTATAATATATATATATAATATCTCTATATACAGTATATATATATTAGTATATATATATATACATACAGTATATATATATATATATATACGTGTAATATATATATATATACACATACTTGTAGACATATTGAGTGAATGAACGTGTTTTCAATTCAACTCCTTGGGAAATCTTCTCACTCCCGTTGCTCAGCCATTGAACGCAAATTTCTTTGGGCAAAATCTGATCAGCAGAGGTTGGTGTTGTTTTTTCTCCCTTCCAGTCCCTTCCAGTCTTCCATTTGGTCCAGAATTGGAGTCCCAAAATTCACCCGCCAATTTTGCAAGGGATACATGTTAATTTCCATGAGGATTTCCATGAGGATTTCCACATGTTTCAAGCACCTTCAACCACGAGATTTCCAACCCCCATAGCGCCGTAACCAAATCGCATCCCCGGCCGGGCCAAACGACGATGGGACCATGGGGCTACCTGGAACTGACTACTTCAGGCGGGGGATCTTGGGGAACATGGTAGATTGGGATGGAATGGAACCATGGTCATGGGGTTTTGCAATCAACTGATTGCAAAGGAGTTCAACTGGTGCTACCTGGGATGATACATTGGGTGAAATTCAAACAGACTAGACAGACACATCAGCAAGTTGACTCGTATTTTTGAAGGACACCAACCACCCATCCTCGAGTGACAACTGGGTAGGAGTGCTTCGGGTCGTCATTTCGTATGCGCTCAACCGAACTATGGGATAGATCTGCAGGACAGATGGTTTGTTTCAGAGTTTCGCTTGCAAAGTTCATCCTCTACTCAGTGCTCCTCATGGTCCCGTGTTTGTAGTATTTCATTGCCTACGCTATGATGTGAACACTTGCAATCATTTTTGTGTACGGAAATGTGAACATCAATTTCCCATTTTTTTTTGGACAATTGACCAGAAAACAATCTGAACCCCCCTGGAATTTGCTCCATCAATCTTTGGTTGCAGAGGAGCTGGCAGATGACAGAAACGAGTTGACATCGTTGGTTGCCAAAGTGCTGAACTCGGATGGCACTTAAGATGGGACATTCATTTGGCCACTGACGATTGGTAGCATCACTGTGATTGAGTGACACGGAGAAAAATGCTTAAGATGTGGATTTACATTTGCCGAACATGTGGGAATGGTTCAGTTTTAAGATGGATTTCAAATGATTTCCACATGTTTAAGATCTTTTCTACACCATCAACTGCCAAACATGTGCAGAAAAAACACATTGGGGTGGAACCATGTGGAACCGCACCCGCACGGGACTCTTCCAATTGAGGTCTCCCAAAATCACAAAAAAAGGCACGGCATGCTACTTAAAAGTACAGCAAAATCCATAAACATAGTATTATAATCTATTATATACAGTTTTTTTTCCCGAGAGGTTTGTTCATTTTTTTTCCACGTCCTCGCCGAATGGCAAAAAACCCATGGTTTTCGGACGTCGGCGAGACGAGTCGTTTTTCGAGTCGTCGATGATCGCAGCAACTTAGGTAGTGCCTGGTCAACTCTTAGAGCTGCAAGAGGTTCGTGGAGACTGGGGCCTGGAGGCCCAGGTTTTTGGCCCAGCCACTGGGGCCATGGTTTGATGGAGCAATGGGAGAAGCTGACGGAAAAGTCCTGTTACATGGGGTAGAATTGGAGATGGGTGGCTTGAATCCATATGTGATTTGCTCGAGGGTGGGTAATGGGTAGAAATGAGCCTTGGAACCAGCCGTAAGTGGAGTTCACTTGGAAATAACTGAGGGTAGTAGAAACAAGGGAACATGTTCACAGGGAACTATCATTGAATGGGTCGATTGTTTTTTAGCCCTGGGATCCAATCTCCAAATTTATGTAAGCGTCCATTTCCATCGTCGTTTCTGGTACAGTAGACTGCTCGAATGATAGTGAATGGGGGGAACTGGGGGTATGGGTTATATCAATTAGTTGTGGATAAAGGACGGATAAGACGTATCAACAAGTATTTGGGTATGATATGACATGGTATATTTTGAGTGGTGGATGATGGATGGTGAGAGACTAGGGATGACTAGGGTGCACCCCATTTTGAAGATGTTGCTTTCATCAGTTTCCCCCTTAAAACCATATTAAAACACATTTAAACACGTTAAAACATATTACAAAATGAATATATGTATGTGAATATAAAAATGAATAGACATAATGTATATAATAATATATATATATAATATAAATAGATAGACCTTGCAATGTATAACAGATATCAAAACAGATTCAACCATCCTTTTTTGCGAAATCTCCCAGGCTATGGCATCCCCATGCTCTACCGCGACGGCGCCCAAGCGGGCGCCTTGCCGCTGCCCGGCGGCCGGGGGGCGGCCGGCATCTTCCGCTTGGACTGGGTGCGGAAGCCCTGGTGGACCGTCCAAAAATGGTGAAAACCTGGGGGGGTTGACTATGAAACGTCTTAAAAGTGCTGAAATATGGGGGTTGGATTGAAGATAAATGGTGAAACATGGTGAAACATTGCGATTGATTTAATCATCGAAGATGCGATTGAACATATTGCAACATGATGGCTGAACCATCACACATGGGTATTTTGTTGGTGATTTTGACCATCAAGCATGTGGATGCAAGACAAATCCAAGAAATGTGGGGGCAATAGTCCAGGTAAGGAGGGTGAGGTCACCATAACTCTGGATGAATCATATGAAGAAAACCATATCATTCATTCACTCAACTTTAAGTCTGCATGAATGGATAGCCATACATCCCGATGTCATTTTTTTGGGTGAAAATCGGACTATCATATAATATCATATAGTATCATATCATATCATATCATATCATATCATATATAATATTATGGTATGTCCATGTTACATGTTATGTGTCAGTATACCATGGTGGATAGCCATGGCGGCGCCAGGTGAAGTTGGTGCTCCTCGGGCCGGGCCTGCGGCGGGTGGATGTGGATGTGGATGGCCGGGACAGCTCAGTGGCTTCCAGGGTGAATTGCTGGGATGGTCATGGATGCATTCGACTTGGGATCATATATACATAATATAATTAGGTATAATATATTAATTATAGATATATAAAAACACCCAATAACATGATAAGTTATGTTATAATAAATAAATAAATAGATAAATAAATAAATACATAATTACATGAATATATACATATATATATACATATATAGCAAGGTGTAGCAAGATGGGTTGTCCATAAATTTGGGTAAATTACAGTGACCTCACTGCGACCGAACCCTGGAATCATGGCTAATAAGGAAAATCATCCCCAAATGGCCGAACTATTCAGGGTAATGAAATATTATAATTTACCCATATATATATATATACAGCAATAATGATGATGATATAGTGATAATCATGATCAAACAATAATAATAAGACATAAAGAATAGTACCTAACACACACACAATAATGATGATAGTTGATCGTAAGAATAGAGTATACGTATGTGACCCGTTTTCATAGGGGAAATTACAGTGAAATTTCTAGACCCATTACGTTTGGATTCCCAGATTCTTCAAATGCAACTTGAACATAGCATACTCTCACCTTCCAATAATGGGTTGGTGATACCTCCATCGAAGCTGTCTGATCTGGCTGCGGTTTCCCGAGGAACGATGAAAGATTTTAGCCCAGAGAAGCCCAAGAACTTCTATGAGAGGTGCCGGCGGGGTTGATGTTTCTTCTTGGAATTGAGGGGCCTGGGTCAAGTTCATGCATTTTCGAGGAAACGTGGCGGATTTACTAACAATTTCGATGCAATTTCGTGTGCCATTATCTTGAAGTTTGAGCTAGATTTGACCCAGAATCCGTTTTTCTTAATGGTTATTTATGGTCAGCTTGAATGTTTGAGGAGGCTGGATTCACTAGCTGATTTTTTTTTTGGCCGTAGCCCACAAGGAACTGGCAACCATTAGTCGACTCGGTCGTCCCATGGAGCATTGACGGAAGGGTCACATTTATGGAGCAATGCAACCGATAGGAACGAACTTATAATATGCTTCATGGAATAGTGCTTTATTAGTTGGTAATAGACTGATAGATTAACAAAAGAGTAGCAATCAAAATTAATATCAAAAGGATTTTTCACCGCGTTTCCAGGATGGTATTGATATTTACCAAATATTTCCAAGTTTCCCACTTTTCTATCAATTTGGGTTGCTATTGCTTAATTTATGTTTTCATCATGACTTACCATTTGGATCTGTCCGGTCAGCGTGCAACGCGCCCTGAAACCACTTCCAGTTCAATGAGCCGCTCAGGGTATTGTTGATGATATCCCAAAAAGCACAACATGTACGTACACACAATATGTATAATAAATACAGTTACAGTACTGGTATGCATATTATATACATAGTATAACATAGTAATATTATATAATATTATATAGTATATACTTACATACAGTATGTCCAATATTCTCAATCATGTAACCAATGTAACTGTTTGATTGAATCCCCCAGGACGGACAATCCATGATAGACTGCAGGTTTGAAGCTATTTGTCGCCGAAAAGCCCTAGACCGGGTAGCTTCCAATGTGGCTGGCTGAGGAAGTTCAGTTGGGTGGCTTTAGATAAACTGGGAACATATATGGATCAAGATAATTAAGTGGGTATTTAACCAGCTATCACGGGGATACAATGCTAATGGATATATGACCAGCACTGTGATATGGGTTTGTCAAGAAATTATGGGGATTTAGCACCCATTTGTGGCAAGTTTAATGCGAAAAGACTCCGGTCACATGTTCTTGGGCCGTGGGCAAGTTGGCAGGCCTAGTTCGGGCGCCGTCCCAGTAGATACCTATCAATCTGATCAGCTTCGAATCAGAGATTTTCCATTGCCATGTTACCATACGTTACCATGTTTGATTACCAGAGGGTACCTCCTTGGTCAATTGCTCATACATTTGCCCTTTTCTTCTCCATTGTTATGGGATCGTCCGTGTTTTTCTGGCTGGAAGTTACCAGGTGGATGCGGGTGAGACAAAGGCCGCTTTTCCGGTGGGGACACTGACCCATGAATATCATCCAGTTGGAGGGAAAAAAGTGAAAAAAACACATCCGCTTAAGTCTTGGCCATTTTGAGTGCAGCAGAAATTGTGTCAATGAGTCAATGGCAGGAATTTTGAATCATCGATGGCAGATGATGGGGTGTTCCCTATCTGTTTGGGCCAATGGAACCACCCACCGCTCCGTTTCTGTTGGGTGGTTTCTATGACTGCATTCCACGACGAAGCCGATGAACTCATGTTCGATCTTGGAGCCAGGAGGTACCTAGTGCAGATGAAGGAGCCGGGTGGGATATGCGGAACAGGTGTTGACTGAATCAAAAAGCAGAACTGACATGAACGGAAATGAATGGAAGAAATCCACTCTGATATCTATATCTTCGGTTAGGCTTTTTTGAGTGTTAGACTTTGTATCTTCGGATTCTCTGCGGCATTTCTGCAGCAACACCGTGATACTGGTAGGATGGTGTAGGCTTTCACATTGGGTCCACATGCCGAAAACAGCTGTTTGTTGATCGGTATGGGTCTCCATAACAATGTGGTAAACTGAAGTTTCAAACCAACTCCAAGATGACCATATATGGATATATATGGTATAAACATGTATAAACCATCCTCAATGGGTAAGCTTCTTGTTGGGTTTATCACAGGATTCGATGGAATAAACCATGGACTCCAAGATGGGAACCCCTGGACCATCCTGGATGGCCCGAAAAAAGGAGCCTCTCGACCATTGGCAGAAGTCATTTTGGAGGCGTCCGTGCAACGTCAGACTCTCTTAGAGATGTGTTTGTAACATTTTGTACCCTCTGGTTATGACTAACATAGCCATGGGAAATGACCCATAGAAATAGATGGTTTACCGTTCTTAAAAATGGTGGATTTTCCATGGTTATGTTAAACCACCAGAGGGTAACAAGTAATTTTTTTAAAGTAAGTCCAGAGGGGTTTGACTCGAAATGGGGGACATGTTTTAGCAAAGCCGTAGGTTTGCGAAAATTGTGTGGGAGAAGAACTCCGGAGTTTTATTGAAATTTAACTAAATTTAACCTTCTACTTTTATACTTGATATTAGACTCTTAGACATATCTCGGTTGTGTGGTTGCTGCTGGAATTTCAACTATAGTGGTGGGTGAAAAATCGCTAAATTATTCATGTGTTTAAACCATGTGGAGCATGCTGATCAGCTATGACAGGAGATCATCAAAGCAGACTGCCAGGCAGGGTTGGTGACCTGTAGACCTGTCTGGAAATTAAGAATCAATTGACTTCAATGACTCCCCCATTGTTTTGAAGGTTGATATCATGTTGAAATATGTTGATATATTATGATCTATGATATATGTTGATATATGATGATATATGTTGAATTATGTTGATATATTATATACAGTAGATTATATTAGATTTGTTCCTTTTTGCTTTAACCATAGGTTCTTTCGACAGTCACGTGCTGTCGTTTCAATACGCATCAAGCGCTGGAACTGCCACCAAAGAGGTCCAGTATCTGCCATCAATCCGATGGTGACGGATTTTGACTCCAACATACTCCAACGAAAAAATCTTCGTTAATTTTGTTGAAATTGATTACAGTGAACAAAATCATGACAACGGAGATTTTACCACTCATAAATTGGCAATTGTTGCTGAATGCTGGGGATGGATGCGCTTCCCAGTAGCTCCGCATGAAAGGCTGCAGATATCCTTTGGGAGAACTCTTCCAATCGATTGGCATGTTGTGAGGCGTTGAAGATACCAGTTCGTGAAGCAGTGGATAGCTTACTAATTTCCTGTGAGGTATATGTGTGTATGTATATTTGTATAATTTGATTAGCAATATATGAATTTATCTCACAACTTTGCTGGCATCTGTGTCCGTTATAATATAATATGTATAATATATATAATATATCTATATCTATAATATATATATATATATCTATATAATATGTATATATATATATATATATTATATGTATATATATATATAATATATTATATGTATATATATATTATATATATTAACCTATAGTACCTACCACCCAGGTTGATGTTGGAGCTTGTTGACAGGACCCAGCGCCTCCTCCTGGCTTAGGACCAAGTGCAGGCAGGTCAAGCTGTTTCACCTGTTTATGGATCCAAAGGAGGAATTTCCTGTGATTTTTCCACCAATTCTAGAAGTTAGGGATGATAAAGTTAGGGATAGAGTAATCTAGCGGATGGTTTGCGTAGTTTGCTTGCATTACACTCCAAGTTGGATTGAATCCCTGATAATTCAATGGAGATTCCCACTTAACTGGATTTTGGAAGTGACTCCCCAGTCAGATCAATCTGAGGGTCACTTCAGATACGTTCATGACTGGTGGTGACGCAATTTCATGATCCCTTTGTTTTTGGGGATATCGGGTATTTGCATCCCAGGTTGAATCACTGAAATGGCACAAAACTCGACTGACATCTGGATTTGACTGGAATTTCTCAACTTTCTGCGGATCTCTGGATATCTCTGGCGCTCTTTCCACGTCCCGGCCAGGGACCGTGTTCAGCCCCAGTCGTTCCACGTCCTCTGGAGAAGCCCATGATGCGGATGACGATGAAGGCCTGGTTGTTGATGTTGATAGCTGGGAAATCGGGGGATTTTCCATTCTGATTCTCGATTTTTAGGGGTAGCCATGGGTAGCTCATTTTCTGGAAAAAGCCAAGAAAAATTGAGGAGTTGGGCCGTTGGGATCTCGATTTGTAGGATTTTTTTTCTGTGAGATTTCTTCCTGTGGTTGTTTTTTTTGAATGGGTTTAGTTGACTTAGACTTTCCGTTTTCTCGACACATCACAACTGCACCCAATAGCCGTTTGCATTCCTTTTGTGTTCATCGCACATGAGTGGGTTTGCTCATCCTTCACACTTTGAAGGCAAAGGCATCTAGAAGTGGACTGGCTCAAGATAGCTCAAAGCCACGTATCAGAAGAGATCTACATGCGACCACATGATCTACCAAAGTTGGTCTATAACATTTTACAACCCCCAAGATACATCATATCTATCATGAACATCCATAACCCCAACAGTTCTTGGAGTCATGTTTACCAACTTAGCAAACTCAATCCCATTAAATCCACGTTTAACTCCCACGAATTCCCATGAAATCCACCTTTAAATCCCACTAAATCCTACTAATTCCCATGAAATCCAGGTTTCAATCCCAGTAAATCCCATCAAAACCCATCAAATCCCCCTTTCTTGGGCTCGTTTTTTTTCTTCGCGCTTCAGGAAGTCCCAAGCGCCGAGCCACGTTGGGACGGCGCCCGCGCTTGGCGCGCGATGGACGCCACGGCAGGGTGATGACTGGGGGATGGTTCTGGTTTATGATTGTTTTAGCCACAAATCATGATTACCCTCTGGTAATGACTAACATAGCTATTGAAAATGGCCATAGAAATATTTGATTTGCCCATTAAAAGTGGTGATTTTCCATAGTTATGTTAGTTTACCAGAGGGTAGCCACAAAACATGGTTACAGCATATCAATGGCCATGCAACAGGAACCGATTGATTGGAGGTACCTACCATACATAAGGCCGAAAAATAAGGCCTATGTAAAGGGAATATCCGCAGAAAATATGGCCTTATATGGTACTAACGTACCTTCTGAAATTCCCATTGAGCATAGTACAACTGTATGATGGTAAATCATGGTGATATTTTATCTAATCATCATATGACTCTAAATCGTAGATTACCGTCTGGTAAGCTAACATAGACCCTGAAAATTGCCAATTTTTAGTGTAAACTAATCTTCCAACAACAGGGCCTGCCAGGGTCTATCTTAATTAACTTACTCCAGGTAATATGGTGACATTAATAGATATCCCCTTAAACATCCTTAAACCATAGTTTTAATATGATTATACCTATATGTGATGGTAAATTATGATGATATTATCTACCCATGATATTATGATGGTGATGCTCAGTGGGGATATCAGATGACAGAATTAAGTACAACCTACCAATCTTTGATCATGGTGGTATAATTACGGCAAATTCCTAAAATGATCTATATTTTCGTAAATCATAAATCATAGATTATGTTTATTAAAAGTATATATGATAGTAGATTATGGTGATATTATCTACCCATCAAAATATTTTGGTGACTGTCAATGAGGAGATCAGATTATGTAATTAAGTATCATCTACCAATCTTTGATCATGGTGGTATAATTACCTATACTGATCTATATTTCACATTTATTATATATGGTAAATCATAGATGGTTTTGTTTCTGATCATATGGATGTTTCCTGAAGCCGAGGTACACTTAAATCATCCAGTCATGAGACCATTTGAGTATTGAAACCCATGGTTTTGGTATTATCATGATGATTATATAGATTAATAAAAAATAATTGTTTTAGTAAACTTACATTATTAGGATTGTAATTACTATGACCATATACCACACTATGATTATTATGGTTATACTTATCATTATTATAATTACCGCAAAGCGACTAGAATCATCACATGTGGTAGTGGTGATTATTATACTCAAATGTATGGTGATATGTGTAATCTACCAATCATGATCTACACACATGTGGTTATGTTACATGTTGTTTTAAATACAATGTGGTAAATTATAGATATCACTTGTCTACTATATATATAAGATAAGCCCCCCTTTGGGGGATGATTTGGGCCTTATTAAAGGGGTTTAATAACGAGGAGATAGTTTGAATGTAGTATAATGTAATGGGGGAAGGACATGTGTGACATGTGTTTGTCCAAGTTAAGAATCATACCTTCAATGCATTGGCTTTTCATCATATTCATCATAGGGCTATATAAACAATTCTTGCGGTATGGCCGATCGTTTCACCAAACTCAATTGTTTGATCACACAAAAAGTGGAGAAGAACCAAGAAACATCTTCCGGAGGGATATCTTGATATTTTGACCATTCGCAATATCCCGTACCTAATATAATACGTAATATACCTATGTATATATATATATTGATAGATAATATATATATATATATATACAAGATTAGTTGATAAGCTTCTGCTTAAATAGCCTGACGTGCTTGGTCCTGGACCCGACTGCTTCGAGGCCTGTCTCCGGAAGCCTTCTCCAGCCACGCGCAGAGCCCCATGCGCATCGTGTGGAGTCCCAGATGGAGAGCTAAGTTGCTTGGATGTAGATGTAATGTATAATATATAATATGATATATTTATAAACATAACATATATGATTCATATATTGTTATTTGTTATCATCATTATTATCATTATTATCATTATCATTGTCATGATTATCATTATCCTTATTATTATCATGATGATTAACACTACTGTTATTATTATCATATATATCGCAGAAATCCCACCCCCCTAAGATTAAACACCTCCAAGCCATGGTTTCAAAGATGTCTCCCGTACTACCAGAACCATGGTTTCTGGACTGTATTTATAATATGAACAGTGGATGGGATTGATGTCCTTTCTGAATATCCTATTGCATCCCAGCAAACCTCTGATGAGTTTCGGTTGTTTCCTCTGAGAAGCGACAACCAAAACACGATCAGATGGGCAACAAGGCCATTTTTTTTTGAAAGTTACATCATCTTGATTTTACTATTTTGGTATATTTGGTAATTATAATCAAGATATGTGGGTATTTTGTGGGTATTTATATTGTGTCCTGTCTTGATCTTGATTTACCACATATCAAGCCGCACGCCTTTAGATCCCACCAGATTGGCGGCGTTTTTTCCACAGCCAATCTGTACATTCGATAGTGGTTCTCAACATATGGCAGTGTGTCAAAACCTTGTACCCCTGGTGAACATCAAAATAGCTGGTAAATGGATGTTCACCCCCTAAAAATGGTATTAATAGGTATTGATCCATACCCATATGTTTTCATGCGCAGGCACCAAACAGTTTGCAAACTTTGCATCGGCAGTGTTGGTTGGATATGAGTAGCTCACAGAAAGGTCTAGAATTTCTGCTTGGTTGTTTCAGTTTTCAACTAGATTATACCACATTTATTGAATTTGAAAAGTCTACTTTATATTTCTACCATTTTACTAAAGTACCAAGGTTATACTAGTAAACATTATTAGCCACGTACCTATCGAACAGTTTTAGTTACTATCCACTGACATACTAAACATCTAGTGATATGCTAGTTATTTTTTTATACTAGCCATAAGTTACACCACACTTCTCATCATCTCTGCAGACGATCCTTCCATAGGTCAAAGACGAGACCGGCGACGACTCGAAACTGGAAGAAACTGGTGGGCTTCTGGGGGGTTTCAGTCATGACTTGATGACTGGGGATGTTTCACATATAACCAACATACCCTCTGGTTATGACGAACAGTTTGCCATGGAAAGATCCACCATTTTTTATATGGAAAAAACCATCCATTTCTATGGGCCATGGCTTCCATGGCTATGTTAAATAACCAGAGGGTAACCATGGCCCTTTTAGTTCGATGATTGACCTATTCAACAGGTGTTTTGCCATAGCTATGGGATGATGATCCACAGATACTTTTGCGTAAAACCATGCCTCAGATCTTGAGTAAAAACCGTAGACTACTGTATCATGAAGGTTGTTATATACATATTACAACAGTTTTTGGGACTGGCATGTCCACCAAAAAATGTTGTTTCCAACGACTCGATAGGACAGGAAACCCGACTCGTCGTTCCAGCGGTAGGTCGCAGACAGAGGCACAACACTTTGTCCAGTTTGCTGCAAGCCAACAGGAGCCCAGTGGGCGGAGGGTTGCACCGCTAAAGCCTAAGAAATGCCTATATCCCATTAAATCCCATTATATCACCACAAAAAGCATAAAAATGTATATATATATATATATAAATGCCAATTATGATCCCAATTTATCTCAATTATCTATAGATGTTATCCCAATAAATGCCAGCAATAAAGGATCAACAGCACCAACATGGTCTCCAGGACGGGGAAGCTGCAACGGTTACTGGAGAACCTACGGCGTGAACAGCAAGACATGGTGCGCTCCGCGGTGGACCTGCAAGACTTGAAGGACAGGATGAGAACGGTTGGCATGTTGGCAAGTTGGCTGGTCGAATCGCACCAGAATGAGGTAAACCAGAATATATTCATATAATGTAGTATTTTTGAGTATCCATACTATATATACATGTCTTGGATGTAACAAATTAAATTTTGATACACATGTGAACTATATATAACAAAAAATGAATTATGCATGATGATGCATGATGTATAGTTGATGACGACGACGACGACGACGATGATGATGATGATGACGATGATAGTGATTACGATGACGATGAAAGTGATGACGATGACGATGACGATGACGGTGAGGATGATGATGATGTTGATGATGATGATGATTATGATGATGAGGAGGAGGATGAGGAAAAGGAGGACGACGACGACGACGACGACGACGACGACGACGACGACGACAATGACGAGCATGATGATGATGATGATGATGATGATGATGAGGATTAGGTGACGATGATGATGGTGGTCATGATGGCAATGATGGCAATGATGGTGAATTAAATGACGAGGACGAATAGTAGAGAGAAAAAACAAAAACCTTAAAAACAAAGAAGAACAATGAAAATAATGATAGAAGAAGGAGCCGAAGAAGAATAATAAACAAGGAATAATATGAAGATGAAGATACGGATGAAATTGAAACATGAAACAATACATCAGAGAATGGAGAAGGGGATGTACATGATGTACATGAAGATGAATACTTGCAATATTCCAATCTTTGCTGGTGACATATTTGATGAACATCTATTATTATTGATTTAACCCCAGTTTTTGGTTAGTTGCTGCAAGACCGTTAAAGTTGACAGCGCAAAAAGATCCAAACTGCAACTTGCTCAAGACCCAGTAGTGTGCTTAGAGATCAATCACATTAGATTTGTTCATCCGATATCTAGTCAACCCCCCAGACAATTCATGGGGATCTAACTTATTCCAGATGTATCCTAATCCATAAATGTATATATATATAATTAATTATATATAATTATATAATTATATAATTATATAATTATATATATATGATTAATTATTAAAATGTAAAAAGTCAGATCCCCATGATTTTTGTTTATCATCCCTAGTCCCTTTCTGAAAAAAAAAACATCCAAATAATTTTTATTATGGATATCCCAGGACATACTATGGATAACTCCAAATATTTATACTAAATCCATAAACTGGTTGGTGGTTTCAAACATGAATTTTATTTTCCATTTCATATATGGGTTGTCATCCTTCCCATTGACGAAGTCATATTTTTCAAGATGGTTAAAAAACCACCAACCAGATAAATCATGGGAAAATCCGGTTAAAACACTTCCCTTCCAGGAGCGCTTCAAGGTGGCCATGCTAAGCGCCCATCGTACTGGTGAGCTGCAAAAGGTCGCCGAAAAGTTGGCAACAGAGGTGCAACGGAGAATACCGGATTTTTTTTGAGATTTTGCATGGGTTTTGATCTGGTTGGTGGTTTGGAACATGGTCTTTATTTTCCATATATGGGAATGTCATCATCCCATTTGACTTTCATATTTTTCAGAGGGGTAGGTCAACCACCAACCAGTGATGGTTTTGGTGGAATTTCTAGGCTATTTTATGGTGATTTTATGGAAATGTATTGGAATCTTCTGGTGATTATTGGGAGTTTGTGGTAGTTGATGGGGATTTTCACGGCATGATGAACTGTATTGGGAGATTTCAGCAACAAACACGTGGATGTAAAAGCAGCCATTTTTATGGGATACTATGTAGATCTATGTAGCGCGATGTAGTTTCATAGTGTTCACATCTATATATTTATATATTACAATTTAACAGTGTTCACATATACAGTTAAATATACAGTTAATCCAGTTATATATAGTTATGTATATATATACATATAGTTATATATATAGTTATCATTTAATATAGTTATATATATATATACAGTTCATCCACTGTGTATCATCAACTAATCGGATGCCAACAAGTACATCAACTGATCAACTGGGAATTCACCATCCATTAACCCTCCGTCGTCAAGTCATTGGATGCCAACAATGTCAGCAATGTGCAAAGTTTGCTCAAGTCATCATGGAAATCCCATTCTTCATCATCGTCATTTGAGAAGGATGGATAATTAAAGTTAATTAAAGTTTTGAACACCACTCAACTGACCATATCAAAGAATACCCTCTGGTAAACTAACATAGTTCCACTATAAATCACCATTTTCAATAGCTATGTTAGTCATTACCAGAGGGTATCATCAACATTCATCAACCATAGGCCGAACAACGCCCTTCCAGGTGGAGCGTCGCGCGGACGACTTCCAACGTTTGAAGGAGCGCGCCTTGGAAAGTCTGCTGCGGATGAAACGGGCCGGAGAACTGGATCGAATGGCCCAGGTGCAGCTTGGGGTGGTGGAAGGAGCTCTGGGTATCTATGGGTTTACAATGGTTTACATATGTCCTATTAAATGATAGTGAACCTTTTTCCTCAAGCTGATATTCAAATGGTGAGCCAAGGAGCTACGGATTGAGTTTCCCAGCCGCGTCATAGTTGGGCCAAATCTATACTAGATATTTGTCAATGGATTGGTTTAAGGGAAATTTTACAAGAAACCCCATATACAATTGGAAAACCAATGGTTTCCTGTAGATTTCCCCTTAAATCAATCCATCTAATTTGGGGGTGTTTACTTGCTGGCATATTACATAAATGATAAATGTGATCGATTCCTTCGCTTGAGAAAAGGATGGAACAACCTGGTGAGGCAATTGTCATCAATTGTCAGCCAGTGGACGTTTGCCCAATCATCGTTGCTTAGTATTCTCAGTTAGCTGCTTTCTATTCCCGTTCTATCCGCCATTGTTTCGGAACATGATGAAACCACAAAAACAAATGGGTCGTTCACGTTATGTATGTATAATATATATATAATATATAGAATATAGAATAATATACATATATAATAATAATAATATACGTATACATATATATATATAACAACAACAACAACAACAACAACAACAACAACAACAACAACAACAACAACAACAACAGCAACAGCAACAACAACAACAACAACACCAATAATGATAACAACAATAATCATAACAACAACAACAATAATAACAATATATTATATTAGATTATATTTTATTATATTATATATCATATATCATCATATTATATTATATTATATTATATTATATCATATTATATTATATTATATTTTATTATATTATATATATATTGTATGTACAATAAACAAATATATTATAATGTATATACATTATTTGTAAATACATTATTCTATTTTACCCTTGGTGAAATCCCAGTCCCAACGGGGAAACCCCACGCCCAGGAAATGAGGACAGCCAGCGAGGCACAAGCTGTCGAGGCCCACATAACCCATGGATCCCATGATTCCCCAGGAAAAAGACCAGGAAAACTGAGGCAAAACGGCTTTATCCAACCAATGAATGACGGACATATATGGAAAATATATGGAAAATATATGGAAAATATATGGAAATATAAGGCTTGTGAAAACTGCAAAATCACGTAAAAATCCAATGGTTTCATGAAAAACAACTCATTTGCTGATGAAAATTGCGTCATTTTTTTGTGGTAAATCCACTTTTACCGTTTTTGATGCGTGATGGCATTACATATGGAGTTTCTATTCGAGTGGCAGATCATCTGCAGCTTCCCGCTCCTTTCCACGTCAAGTGCTGGAAAGCCTGATGCATGCGAACTCTGAATGGTTTTCTCCGCTTGAGAATCACAGGAACGGTAAGCCCCATCAACCATGATAGAGCGAATCTGAAGCATCTTTTGGTCACTTTTGAGGGATGGCATTGTTGCTAGAAATGATGAGGAAAATGGAGGTCTATGGCCCATCAAATCCACATGCTCCATCATGTCCCCACATCTTTGCCATTTTTCATGGTGAAATCTCCCTTAAATCCACATCTGACCTGGTTTTTTCCCCATGTGGATCCCCTGCATACGACAACTTCCCATGACATCCCGCGGTCAGGATGCCCGGCCGGCCTTGTCTGCCAAGCAACGGGCGCTGCAGAGCCTGTTGGAGATGAAGAGGTCGGGAGAACTGCAACTGCTGGCAGAGGCAGGGGACCACATGCAGGGGTTGGTAACTGTCCCATTTTGGGAATATTGAACATCACCTTATAGTAGCCATTATAGACCATATACCTAATGGTTGGGTGATGTTCAATGGGGATATTTAATGACCCATGACATGGCCGTGGGAAGATCTGGGCGTTTCTTAAGTCCCAGTCGTCACCTGCAGGTTGTTTCAAGACTAAGTAAAATGGTCGGTGGTTTATGATTTGGATGATTTGCCCCTATTTTGGGAAACACCTTTTGGGAAGATTGTTCATGATGGCGTTGTTAATTGTTTGTCATGATGATGAGTCTATTTTTATGATCATGATGATGATGATGATGATGAGGATGATGACGATCATGTTGATGATGATGATGATGATGATGATGATGACAACGATGACAATGACGATGACGATGACGATGACAATGACGATCATGATGATGATGATTTTGATGATGATGATGATTATTATTATTATGATGATGGTGATGGTGATATTGGTTTTGAATATTAGATGGTGTCACTTGAGATTTTTTTGAATTACTGTATGTGAACATGTGAATGACAATCAGCCTTGTGTTGTGTTCATTCCGTGGCTCGGAAATATTGCTTTCAAATTGGATGCTCAAAACAACGGTCCATTCAGACCGCGCTTTGAGCCCAGCTTGTCGCCAATTACAGTATTGCATAGTATTGCTAAGTTTTCCCATGGTACGATAATATTCAAAAAAAATCGCTGGAGTCTGGAGTATACTCAGTAAACAAGTTTCAATCCACCATTTTCCCATGGCAAAATTCGATTTTTCACGCTAAAACGTCCCCTTTTTGGGTTAGACGGTTAGACAAAAATAATGAGATTCCTTGTGTTGATGATTCAATTCCCATTTGGAGGTTTCCTAAATCATCCATTTTCATGGGACTTTCCATCTTAAATCATCCAAACAATGGGGTACCACCATGGCTATGGAAACCAGTATTCTATTGATCTATTGATGATCCATGAATCATCCACTTGCTAAACCATCTTTCTTTGCCATTTCTCACAGGAAAAGGGACAATTTATAGGAAAACCCCATGGCTGCAATGGGAAAATCTATGGCAATCTATGGTTTCTCAGGGTAAAATTCCCCATTTTTCCCCATTTTTCCAGGAGATGGACTCGGCCCAGAAGGCCTTGGAGGCCAAGGCCGCGCAGCTGCGCGGGCTGCGCGGCGCAGCCTCCTTAGGCAACGGCGAGTTGGAGCGCCTGGTGGATCAGATGACGGAGGAATTGGAGAGCCAGGCAGGGGAAGCCAAGCCATATGGTTCCAATGGAAATATCTATAAAAAAATGGATAATCCGTATGGAGAATCATATAATAATAATTTTATATAATTATAAGCCATAATAACCATAATTATCTAGAATAGATATCTATAGTTAGCCATTATCAAATATTATAGTTATCGTAATTATGGTTAATATGGTTATTATAAGCCATAATCCATAATGGTTAACCAATGATTATCCATGATCTAACTATTGGGGTTGGGGATGAGCCATTACCTGCTGGTAGACATACAAGAAACCATGGAAAATCCACCATGTTTAATAAGTAATGGGATGTAATGGGTAAATCAACTATAAATGGCAATTTTCAATAGCTATGTTAGTTTACCAGAGGGAGTCATATGGATGATTATCCATTAACCAATAACCATCCCCGAGATAGTTCTATTGATATTATTAATGGTCAACATCCCCAAGGACCCAATCATCCCATTAGCCATATATCCATTAACATCGATTAACCACTATTGACCCATGGTGAAGCCTATATTAATCGCTTGGGGATATAATGATCCATCTAACTGACCTTCTGGGATGATTAGGAAATTGTTGATGATCATGATTTGTGTGTCTTTGATGGAGAAATGAAGTGATGTTGGTTTATAGACCCATATAGACTCCAATAAACTAATGGTATACCATGGGGATAAATTTATTGGATATAACTGACCAAACAAATGGATGCATGTGGTACTTGTAAAGCCAATGCCATAAACCATCCCCAATAAGGCATTCATTATTGGCTATACCTCTACTTGGGATGATGTAAAATGACACCGAGTGGTTGGTGAATGGGATAACAGGAACCAATGGTTGGGCTGGGAATTAGTTGGGTTAGGGTATGGATGGGAATGGATAGGTGGGGTGATGGATCATGGAAAGATGGATGGGCAGGAGTGGGTTGATTTCAAAGGTCAATTCCGGGGAATGTTGGGGTGCCAGATTTTGAACCATCCGATCTTACAAAGATGAAACGTTTGCATGTTGAGATTTTCCACCAACTCTGTGCAACGTCTTGACATGGTGACTGGTACGATTCAATCGAGGGGAATGTTCCCAACCAAACTCTGGTTTAGGTACAAACCAACAATTTTTGATTGGCAGGTTGAGAGGATAAAGGGCATTTGTTGCCTGAAACATCTTATTGCGATCCCTTGACCCATGACCCCAGAATTGGATGTGTGCCCGAAAATGACCCTGCTCACATGTGAAGTGGTCAAGCTAGATCAAGTTTTAACCCATTCTCAAGTTCGCGGAAACACAGGCAGAGAGCATTCGATCTCGCGTTCGCAAAGGCGGCTCTTCTGTTGTGGTTTGCAGATTTCCAAGACCCAAGCAATGTTTGGGAAAGCTCTCGATATGTATGATGAGCCCAGTTAATTATAAGTGATATTCATTGATTATCATTAGATAATTAATTCCATTGCTTACTCAATCTTATGGATTTATACTAACATCATGTGAATCATATAACGCGTACCGTATATATGTATATGACCATTTGTCAAAAATAGTTGTTTAGAAGTTTAGTATTGGTTGTTGATAATTCATCTGGGTCTACTGTTTTTTCCTCTTCGTTATGAGGCGGCACGCAACTAAATTCAGCAATTCTGCAAGGCAGCGCTAGCAAACCCGCTAGGTTTGCGCTAGGTTTGATTGACAGCCATGGCCTCCATGTCGTGAATGTCTTGCCAGCTTTTCTTACAAGTCTGTCAGTTTCCACATATTCCCAAATTTTCGATTTTTTTTTACGTATTTTACGCGCTAGATCCCCGCTAGCAACGCGCTAGCGAAAATTGCAAATACATGCCCCGGTCCACCCACAGCCCATTCAGAGGCACAGCCATGTTCACGCTTTGGTAGCTTACAGTAAGGAAACAGCGTTGATCAGGAGGCATGTCAAGAAGCATATTGCATTCAGAGAGGCACACACACACAGAGACACACAGTTCAGGAGATAGTGCCAGCGACAGCGAATGAAAACCGACGTGCGTTAGCTGATTGGTTTTAGAAAGATTTCCAAAGGTAACGAAGAATTTCCACGTTTTCACGTCATCAAGGTAGGTCATGTTTTTTAAAGGCAAACATGAGGCGGCAAGCATGGAATTGCGATTTATCAACAAAACCGGGAACAGACATTTTGACAAACCGTCATATATTATATACATATTACTATATACATATTATTAATTATTATATACATATTATTATATATTATATATATTACATATATATATATATATATCTGTATGCAGTTAAGGGACTTACTAAAAGCAGCTTGTTTTTCCCACGTCTCCTGAAACGCTTGGTGAAAGTCCAGGTTTGCTGCGTGCACACCGGCGGGGCGAGCTACAGGATCTGCGGCAGGAGCCGGCGGAGCCCATGGATTTTTTGGGAGGCTTCCAGTCTGGCTATATACCATCTGGTAAACTAACATAACTATGGAAAATCGCCATTTTTAATGGGAAAATCCACTATAAATGGCCATTTTCAATAGCTATGTTAAATTACCGGAGGGTATGGGGGTTTCTATAAATGGGGGTTATCCCCAAATGGATGGTTTATAATGGAAAATACCCTTAAAATGGATGATTTGTGGGTACCCCTATTTCAGGAACACCCCCCGCACGCACACACGCACACACACGCACAGTAGTCGAAGGAAGTTTAGAAGTCAAACTTCCGAACTTCCGACAATATGGAGAGATGAAAAAGCGGAGGTGGGAAGAGTCAGAGAAGAGAAGAGAAGAGAAGAAGAAAGAAGATCAGAGAAGAGAAAGAGTCAGAGGAAAGAAGATGCAGGTGCGCGAAAAGGTAGCAAAGTCGCGATTCACTGTGTTTTTTCCAGTGATTTGTGGCTCCGGAGGGTCGAAAAGTAGGCTCGCTAAAGCGGCGGGTGCGGAGCCGTCTGGGGAGATGAGAGATGAAACACTGCACGCCGTTGTGGCGCGAAGCACATTTCGAAGTCAAAATGCGCAAAGCGCACCAGGTTCGGAGCACTTTTGGAAATTGCGATGTCGAAAATGTGCACGCCGTTGTGGCGCGAAGCACATTTCGAAGTCAAAATGCTAAAAACAGCAGGGGTTCGGACCACTTTTGGAGGTTCAGATGTCGTTTCGCGTGGTAGGCGCAAGGGATTGTGCACCTTGTCGAAAGTGAGCAAAGCGTGCGGGTTTTGTAGCATTTCCAAAAACGATGGCAGGCGTGGGACATTTGAAGAGGATCTGCAAAGATGCATTTTCCGTGGCAGGCGCAGTACAAGAGACATGTTCATCAGAGCTGTGAGGAGGTCCGGCCGCTGATTTCCTGAGAGGGTTTGCATTTTGGAGCATCAGATCTTCAGGTTTGCTGAGATGATTTTGCGTGACAGGTGCAGCACTTCGTATGACCTGGCATCACTTTTTCGGGGCAGGCGCAGTAGTTTAGACAGATGGATTGCAAAAATCGTAAACGCAATGGTACGAGGCCGTCAGCTCTGCACTCAACTTTCCATGTTTGAAGGAAAAGTCTCGCAGAATTGCTTCGTTTTTGATCTTGCCAATTTCAAAACTTGAGGACGTCTCGCAGTATTGCTTCGTTCTTGACGTTATCAAGGTCAAAAGTTGAGGAGGTGTCGCACAATTGCTGCGTTTTTGATGTTGTCAAGTTCAAAAACTGAGGATGGCTTCTTTTTCAAGCTTGCAGGTAGACAGGTAGATAGATAGACAACTACAACTGTAACTACAACTACCCACTACACTACAACTACAAATACAAACCACTACGCTACATTACATTACACTAATTGGACTGCATTACACCAATTGCATTGCAGTAATTACAGTACACTACACTATTACAGTAAATACACTACAACTGTATCTACTAGTACAATTACAGCTACAACTGCAACTGCACTACATTGCACTACACTAAAACTACAACTACAACTGCAACTGCCACTACAACTACTACTACAACTACGGCCGCAAGTACAACTAGAACTACACTACATTACACTACACGACAGCTACAACTACAACAACTACATCTACAACCACACTACAACTACGCTACATTACTTACATTGCGCTACACTACGCTACACTACACTACACCACACCACAGTACACTACACTACATTACACTACACTACACTGCACTAATTACACCACACCACAGCTACAACTGCAACTACAACTACACTGCACTATGTACACTACATTACAAATACAACTCCACTACGCTACATTTCAACTACGACTACAACTGCACTACACCACACTACATCCAGCAGTTGTGGGTGAGGTAACCACTGCAACCATTCCAGCCACAGAAAAACACAACTCCAACCAGCTTTCGGTCCATCAGTGGATTCGCTCTGCCATCCATGCATCACAACAACTCAGGTCTCCTATAGTGTCCTATCCGTGGAGCCTTGAAACTCCCGCCACCGCCTTGTGCGGTACTACTGGTACATACATCATCAAGTATCAATCATGATTATCTAATGGAAAATCATTATTGAATATCATGGTTACACATGCAAATATATACATATTATCAATTTTCATATCATACCTATTGGAACATCAGTTGGTGAACATGTGGTCAATGTGGTCAATGTGGTCCATCTACAAAAACATTTAAAAAACATCACAATGAGATGAGTTGGCCAAAAAAAATGGGTGCCCTTTAAACCTACCATCAAACCTTTCAATCTTACCATTTTGAACCATGGTTCTTGGAACTAAAAAAACCACTAGAACATTCAAAAACAACATACTAAAACAACCATCAAAACAACCATTAAAACAACTATAAAAACTACCATTAAACCAACCATTTGGCCATAAGACCTTGGGAACCCCACCCTTTACGGCCAGGAGTTGGACGAGTTAGCCGATGAAGTGCCATCGATGCCCAGCAAACAACGGGCCAAGCGCTGGCAGGAGACCATCAGTGTGGTGCCCTATTGGGATGGCCTGGGGCCACTTGGGTGCGATGGGAACTATATATTTAAAAAATATATCTTTATGGACAGATTCCAAGTATCAAAATTTGGGAAAATCATCAGTAGATTTCTGGGAGTGAGTTCGAAAAATTGGGGCGAGGGAGATAGTCGCTGATACTTTATTGTATCATATCAATATGCACAGTATATAGTTAACACATCAGAATGATGACTATCAGGATATGATCATTGGACACTGATTTATTTGTTGGAATTTGTTTTTGATTCTTGAGTGTGGTTTGCTTTTTGTTCAGTGCTTGAGTTACTAACATTGGACATGAAAGACACATTGATCTGGCTTTTGATGGCGTTCCTGGATGACCCATGCGAGCAACAAACTCAAATTTAATGGATGTGGTACAGTATAATTATACAATTTACAATCATGAAGTCAAGTCAACTCCTAATAGTATCGTTATAGATCGTTGTAGTATATAGAGTTAGACCCCCCAAAGTATAACAAGATCATCACTACTACAATCAAATCTACCTATAACATCCTACAACTTTAGGCAAATCCCTGGTACAAATTCAGGTGATCCAAGTGAACGATGACTGAAACTCGGCAGGTAGCGACTCGGAGCCAGAAAACGTTCGCCGCCGCGACGACGACCTTTCTAGTAACGAGGTGGGAATTCGGGAGGACACTGGGGGTTTGTGCCAGTAATTTAAAAGGGTTTAAGATATTTTAAGATCGTGATTTAAGTTGAAACTATTTATAAGACATAAAAATATGGGTCGGTTTTATATGACTATAAAATAGATGGCATTTGATCTCAGGGATTTTTTTTAAAGAACATTGGTTGGATTTCAGCATCACCATCATTGGGATCAAACCAATGGACGGAAATGGGTCGGTCCAAAAGATGGAGTCATAGCTCAATTTCTGGCCATACTGACGGGAATCCGTACCCCATGATTGGACATGTCACCATGTCGTGATATGGTTGAATCATAAGATGTCGGGGGATATCTAAGATTTCGGGGGATATCACCAATAATAGGCAAACAATAATAAGGGGACTGACTGCCAAAATGATCGAAATGTGTATCGGTCCAGTACACCCACAAATGCGAGGGCAACATGGTGTGATATCTAGCTTATGGAAAAAATCATGAACATTCGACAAACAGAAGATGGGATAGAATAGAGCCAACTTGACTATATAACGATAAAGGTGATTCCACCATTTCTGTAGATATCACTTTAGGTCATTGGTCAACAGAATGTGTGGATAGGAGATTACATGTTGGGATATTAATCAACACTAAATGGAGATAGACAACTAGTTTGCGGACACTAGACAACAAGTGATTGGTTGTATAGAGTTGATGGCCAATTGAAGCCTCTTTCATGCTGCTAAACCATAGCCAACGCAGGGCAGTGATGCGGACACCAAACAGCTGGACGGAGCGGCTGCTGTCAGTCGCTGGCAGGACAGGGTGACAGCGCCATTGAAAAATCCACTTGGGTTTGTCTGAAACAAGGGTTAACTCATCCAACATCTACTGTAAATGGTTTGTCATCAGTTCCCCCTTGAAATGCAAGTTTTAGGGTAAACCACATTTCAATCCATTTCTGGATACTGGACAAATCGATTTTTCTTGGAGAGAGTCATCTATCTCCCCCAAGAGTTGGTATGCAACCCAAGGGCCATATATATTCAGATCAGGTTCCACGTTCAAGTTCGGGTGTGGACAACGGGGAAGTGTGGCTCGAGTGGATGGTCCATTGGTGCCCCCCGTTCCGGGAAAATTCAGAAACAAAGCAGGAACGCCCCAGGTCCAATCCATGGTTCCCCCAGAGTAACCCCCAGAGACATCAAACATGGCGGTAATTCCCATGGTTCTGCCATGTGAAAACCCAAGCCATGGATCCTCCAGGCGCAAGCCAACAAACCTCGCAAGCGTTGGGCGGATATGACCACCAGCAGCGATTCAGGCCTGACTCATTATTGGAGAATCGGCAGAATTACAACCTGTTAAGATTTCCTGGTTGGTAACTTCCCGTTTCATGGGTTAACCATGGTTAACCCATCTATGAATGGCTTATAACATCTAGATTAACTTATAACCATGGTTGTTAACCACTCAGGATTTGTGGAAGGATCCTCCAAGTATCATACTTGGCATCCAGATTTATTTGGTAGTTTATCCTAGTGTTGCCAGGTTTTTGCCTGATTTTGGCTGACTTTTGCCTAATTATTTCACTGGGCCATTCATACTTGGAAAGAGAATAAAGATAATAAGCCCGATTTAACTGCTATTTATGTATGATTATTGTATGTTTATACTGTGCATATGATGGCATAATTATCTATTTCCAATCTTATTTCATACACCCATGTCCACAGAGATTCTTCTTGGGATGCGTTGAAACTGTTGAACATGTCTGCAGATTTGGATCCAGTTGGCAGCCAAGCGGGTAGGGCGGGTGCCCTAGACCGGCTACGGATGGGCTGGTCATGGGGTATCAGTGGGAATGTAGGAAAACAGGTGAAAAAATGGTAGAGGATGGTAGAGGGATGCTGGGACATCCCAGCGTTCATTGTTGCTTCTTATGGTTTTTATGTTACGTTGTTCAATGTTTCATCCTTGTTTTTTTAAAATGTTTTTGGATGTGGGGGGACAATTTTGCCCCGAACTTTGACTTGGTTTTTTGGTTGGGTTGCTGATTGCTCATTCACACTTACGGTATATTGTGCCCCCCAAAATGGATGGTTGTCCTATATTTTCCCACTAAAATGGACCCAATTTTAAGTTGGCTTTTGGATGATTCTCCCGATCGACTTCCAGCATATTTTCGGCATCAATGGAAAGCCCGTGTATATCAGACTAAAGGGAACACCTCAATTTGAACATACAAGTTTGTGCCAAGGATGAATTGGTCTTTTCCCAATAGAGCGCTCAGCAAATGCAGATCCCAAATGGCCCATTAACAGTGTCACCATGATGCCTGGATCACCAGTGCCTTCGAAAGTCTCAGACGAATAGAATATGAATAATATGCCACGTCACACCTTGAATCATATTTCATAAAACATTTGAAATAAGATAAACATATCACTTTGGTAAATAGTATGCCAATGTATGCCACTTTTATGAAATAAGATGTTCGTGTTGGTAAAGCCAATTTCATAAACCATCCCCAGTTCTGGTAGGTTTCTGGCAGGGACCCACGACGCATTCGCGGCACTTCCACCGGCACTTCCAGCGGCAGCCGAGGCAGTGGGGCCTCTGCCGGTCGCATCCAAGGCCGTGAGGGCGATCTCAGCAGCTGGGCCAATTTGGAGCTTTCCCTACCCTCTGATAGCTATGTTAGTCATTACCAGAGGGTAAATGATGTATAACCTCCCAATGGTTAATAGGGCAAATATTGAAAACTGATGGAACTTGATTAAATTAACCAATGGATTTAGAGTTACCCTATTTTCAGACTGACAAACCCATATTATAAAATGGGGGTTCCCCTAAATCATCCATATTTCATGGGATTTTCCATGAAATAAACCATCCATATATAGGGGTACCCCCATTTAGCATTAGGAGGAGAAGGACGTTGATGTGAAAGAACACCTTAGGACCTTCCCCTGTAAACCATCCCATCAACCAGGTGGTAGTTCAACATCTTCCCATTACTAGGCTGGGTTGTGGTTTGGAACATGACTTTTATGACTTTCCATATATATATATATATATAATATAATTATATATATATTGGGAATAATCATCCCAACTGACAAAGTCAAATTTTTCAGAGGGGTGGCTCAACCACCAACCAGTAGGGGTATTCCCGATGTTTTTCCTTCCACCTAAAATTAGACACCTCCTAGAATCCATGGTTTTTCGTAGGGGATGACCACAGACTGGGGGTGTGACAAATACCAGTACCGCACGTGCGGCGGTGGCGACAGTTTCAAAGATAGGAAACCTATAGGAGAGCTTGGTTGCTGTGATGCATGGATGGCAGAGCGAATCCACTGATGGACCGAAAGCTGGTTGGAGTTGTGTTTTTTGGAGTGGTTGCAATGGTTGCAGTGGTCACCTCACCCACAACTGCTGGATGTAGTGTGGTGTAGTGCAGTTGTAGTTGTAGTGTAGTGGAGTTGTAGGTATAGTGTAGTGGTAGTCGTAGCTGTAGTGTAATGTAATGTAGTGTCGCGTAGTGTAAAGTAGTGCAGTCGTAGTTGTAGTGTGGTGTAATTAGTGTAGTGTGGTGTAGTGGAGTGGTAGTGGCAGTCGTAGCTGTAGTGTAGTGATAGTATGTGATAGTTGTATTTGGAGTTGTAGCTGTCGTGTACTGCAGTGTAATTAATGCAATGTAGTGTAGTCAGTGTAGTGTAGTGCAACTAGCGTAGTGTAGTGTAGTGTAGTGCAGTGTAATTTGTGTACTGTAGCGTAATATATTTGTTTTTGCATTTGTAGTTGTAGTGGTAGTGTCGTGTGGTTGTAGCTGTAGTTGCAGTTGTAGTTGTGTATCTATCTATCTATCTATCTACCTATCTGTCTATCTGTCTGTCTGTCTGTCTATCTGTCTATCTGTCTGTCTTTCTGCAAGTTTGAAAACAAAGCTATCCTGCGAGACTTCCTCATTTCTTGAACTTGACAACGTCAAAGACGAAGCTATTCTGCGAGACTTCCTCAAGTTTCCAAGTTGACGACATCAAAAACGAAGCAATTGTGCGAGACTTCCTTCAAAAATGGAAATTGAGTGCAGAGCTGACGGCCTCGTACCATTGCGTTTTGCGATTTTTGCATTCCATCTGTTTAAAGTACTGCGCCTGCCACGAAAAAGTGAGGCCAGGTCATACAAAGTGCTGCATCTGTCACGCAAAATCATCTCAGCAAACCTGAAGATCTGACGCTCCAAAATGCAACCCTTTTCAGGGAATCTCCGCCCTGACCTTTAACATCTCTGGTGAACATGTCTCTTGTAATGCGCCCGCCACGGGACTTGCATCTTTGCAGATCCTCTTCAAATGTCCTACACCTGCCAATGTTTTTGGAACTGCTACAAAACCCTCACGTTTTGCTCACTTTTGGCAAGGTGCAGAATCCCTTGCCCATGCCACGCAAAACCATATCCTAACTTCCAAAAGTGGTCCGAGACCGTCGGTTTTTCATATTTTTCACTTCCAAATGTGCTTCGCGCCACAACCGCGTGCACTTTTTCGACATCTCAACTTCCAAAAGGGCTCCGGGCATGGTGTGCTTTGTACATTTTGACTTCGAAATCTGCTTCGCGCCACGGCGGCGTCCACTTTTTCGACATCTCAACTTCCAAAAGTGATCCGAGACCTCGAAATGTGCTTCGCACCACAACGGCGTGCACATTCTCAACATTCTCAACTTCAAAAAGTGCTTCGAACCTGGTATGCTTTGCACATTTTGACTTCAAAATGTGCTTCGCGCCACAACGGCGTGCAATTTTTCATCTCTCATCTCCCCAGACGGCTCCGCACCCGCCGCTTTAGCGAGCCTACTTTTCGACCCTCCGGAGCTACCTTTTCGCGCGCCTGCATCTTCTGTCTTCTGATTCTTTCTCTTCTCTGATATTCTTTCTTCTTTTCTCTTCTCTTCTCTGACTCTTCCCACCTCTGCTTTTTCATTTGTCCATATTGTCGGAAGTTTGACTTCTAAACTTCTTTCGATTATATCTAGGGAGATGGCTATAGTGCAGAGTAAGGACATTGACCCAGAAAATTCCAATGACTGATGATAACCCCTGGGTTTATTGTGGATTCTCACTACTATGCTGAGTATGGGGCATTTGACTTTCAGGGTGAAGTGAGTCTGCCAGTCCGGGCTTATGTTCTTGCAAAGCACTTGACAACTGTGAGATCCCTCAAAATCATCAACAGCCTCTCTCTCTCTCTGTGTCTCCCTCTACGTATTGTATATACACATATATTGATGGGTGGTTTCATATATATATATATATATACACATATACACCATTTAATATGTTTCATTTTCCATCCATCACAAATGGGACACAATGCTTCCAGGATTCACATATTTCCCACACACACATATTTTTTCTTAGTGTGAAACATCACCCTCTCTTCGGATCTGGGTAGCTTGGGACGGGGGGCCGAGGCTTCTGCTAGGCCCCAGTAGCCTGGCAGCAGCAATAGGTGGATGGTGTTTTTAAAATGATTATATACTGTATCTTATCGTGGTCTATGGTGATTTCACTGTTGTTGGTTGGTTGGTTGGTTGGTTGGTTGGTTGGTTGGTTGGTTGGTTGGTTGGTTGGTTGGTTGGTTGGTTGGTTGGTTGGTTGGTTGGTTGGTTGGTTGTTGTTGGTTGTTGGTTGTTGGTTGTTGGTTGCTGGTTGTTGTTGGTTGTTGGTTGTTGGTTGCTGGTTGCTGGTTGTTGGTTGCTGGTTGTTGGTTGTTGATTGTTGGTTGGTGGTTGTTGGTTGTTGGTTGTTGTTTGTTGGTTGTTGGTTGGTGGTTGTTGGTTGTTGGTTGGTGGTTTGTGGTTGTTGGTTGGTGGTTGTTGGTTGTTGTGGTTGTTGGTTGTTGGTTGTGGTTGATGTGGTTGTTGTTGTTGTTGTTGTGGTTGTGGTTGTTGTGGTTGTTGTGGTTGTTGATTGTTGGTTGTTGGTTGTTGGTTGTTGGTTGTTGGTTGTTGGTTGTTGGTTGTTGGTTATTGGTTGTGGTTGTGGTTGTGGTTGTTGTTGTTGGTTGTTGATTGTTGGTTGGTGGTTGTTGGTTGTTGGTTGTTGGTTGTTGTTTGTTGGTTGTTGGTTGGTGGTTGTTGGTTGTTGGTTGGTGGTTGGTGGTTGTTGGTTGGTGGTTGTTGGTTGTTGTGGTTGTTGGTTGTTGGTTGTGGTTGATGTGGTTGTTGTTGTTGTTGTTGTTGTTGTTGGTGTTGTTGTTGTTTGTTTTTGTTGTTGTTTGTTTTTGTTGTTGTTTGTTTTTGTTGTTTGTTTGTTTGTTTGTTTGTTTGTTTGTTTGATGTTATTGATGTTATTGATGTTACCATATAAGATAACTCATATTTTTGAATGACTCTGCACAGTTGGGGCAGATTCATTCATGGTTGGTGTCAAATTCAAAAACATGCTGAACATTTCACTTAATTGGCGTTTGTTTCAAGTGGCCGTTTGAACTCAACATGGGGACAAAAAAAATCGTGATTCATGGGGATTCCAGAGAGCTGACGCTTGGGAAAAAAAAACAACATGTTTGAAGAGTACCCTCTGGTAAACATATAAAAAACTATGGAAAATCACCATTTTTAATAGGTCAATCAGCTATAAATGGGGTATTTTCAATAACTATGTAACAACAAATTACCAAAGGGTAAATGGAAATTTTCCATGATTTCCCTTCCTACGTTAGGTTTAAGATGCACTGTATCTCAGTTTTGCGGCTATTTCAGTTTCCAACTTTGGGTTTGATCAATGCCATACCAAGACTGGTCAAATAAGAAACACTTTCATGGAAATTGAATTCAAAAATGCACACAAATTATCAGTCTTCAACGGGATGTTTGCATCGACATTTTTCTTTGCTCGTTTGTTAACGGGAATATATGATCGTCAAGTATATATATCTCAATCCTGCATTTGTTCAACTCATTTCCACACTTGTCGAATCCCATGGCTTCTTCCACGCCCTAACTTCAAGCTCATGAACTTCTACAGTTCCCAGACTTGGATGAATGGACCATGTTCACAAGAAACCTCCATTTTTTTGGGCGAAAGCTGATGGCAATCCATTGAACACCGAACCGCACCAAGGAACCCATCGACTGCAGCCAGCAGCCATGATCCGCCCAAAAGAGCGTGATGTGGAAAAATCGCTGGCGGAATGGTGACTGTGAGTTGGAGAGTCATTTTTAGGATCATCATCCCCAACATTCCCCATGTTTTTGTACTCAGATGCTTTCTAAATGATGTGACCTTCCCGAGAAACTGCAGAAATTGATATTTTTGGACCCCCTGCTATCCGATCTGTTCAAATTTGTGGATAGAAAATTCTACACAGATACTGATAGCCATTGAGGGATTGTTGCACTGGCATGTTTGATTACAAGAGGGTACCAATCTTTCTCCATGATATCAATGGTAGCCATATCCATGGAGTATGTACCAAGATTTACCCCCCAAAAATGGTTCACACGGAGCGTATGAGATATGTTGGACCAGGGCCACCTGGAACTGGATGAAAAGTAACCAGCAGGAACACTCTTCCATAGTCTCTGGTTAAACTAGCTATGAAAAAACATGTTTACATATGTGTTAAATAGAGATATATATTATATTATATATATATATAATCAAACTAAATTTGCCATGTTCCATAGCAAACTGTTAATCTACAGGAGGGACAGTAACCTTTAGCCTATGATTCAATGTCCCACATTTTTAATTTGGGTTTCTGCCATCTTTCGATCTTACATGGTGAAAAAACAATGTCCAGCTTGCACACGTCTTGCCAGGTGGCCTTCAGATTGGGCAATACCAAGTTGCTGTTTATGAACTGCCATCTAGCTGCACATGCGGACAAGATGCAGGCGCCTGCGCCACAAGTGGGCCAAGTGGGATCCTTATGCCAAGTCATTGACTGGCTAGCGACCTTACTGGCGAAGGTCACCAGAAGTCATCAGAAATCATGGTTACTGGGAGGGATTATCCTCCAATGACTCGCATTGTGCGAACTGGAAGCCATGGGCCCAAAAGTGAGACAGGATTTGCCAACCATCGCTATATATTCCAATATAGCTATCTTAAATTACCAGAGGGTCCCAAACATTGATTATTTCTGAGTTGTGAAGTATAGTCAGTATAGTCATTTGTCCAGAAAGTGTCACCAAAAGTGACCGAAAAGACACCGCAATGTTTGTGCAGATTCTGAGGGTATCGGTAGGTTTTGGTGCAGGTGCGAGCGACATTTTGCTGTGGGGTCTAGTGTAGTTGTGATTATTGAGGTCATTTACTGTATTTTGGTAGAAGTCAGCCTATTGAGATACTAGACCAAATTAAGGTTATATACTGTACATAAAGTTACTAATATATTGTAATATAATATAATATATATGTACGCACTATATAATAATATATATATATAAACAAAAATGATGTATTTGTAAATACATGTAAATACACAAATTATGTAACTTCCTATGGGAGGCATGCGGAGGCTCTGCCCCAGGAGCGAACGCAGTCGATGCACCGGATTTTAGAGACGTCTCCGATACGGAAACGAAAGGACGCGATTGGCATGGTTGGTTCATGGGGCCGTGATTACCCTCTGGTAAACCTACACAAAACTATGGAAAATTGCCATTTATGGTTGATTTACCGAGTAAAAATGGTGATTTCCCATAGTTATGTTAGTTTACCGGAGGGTACCCACTTTCATATCTTTCATGAAGGAACATAGGATTATGTAATTATGTAGGATTGTTTTTCCGAAATCTAGCTTTAGTAAAGATCGAAAAGGATGTGTGTGTGTGTGCGCGTGTCAGGTTAGAATGCGGTGGGCTTAGGAGTCGCATATGTGTTTTGCGACTCCTGAGAACTAGCCGCTTTTGAAGATATTTGAAGATCATTTCCTTTGTGGCACAACATTCTTCTTGATCATCCGTGTCAGCTGCAAACGAATTGGCACTGCCTTTTCGCCATGGCCGGAACCTCATAAAATGGCAACATGGTATCCACTGGTATCCCATGCTATCCCCCAATTCAAAGACGCGACACTACACGGGAACTCCAGAATCTGCACAGCCACCGGTTTGGAGGATATGAGTGGAGTTCATCGAGAGTATGATCGTGTTTTCTTCATGGCCGGGGGTCCCAGCAAGCTCTGGAAATATGGATGGCATATGTAGGATCGATAGGATGGATAGTGGGTGCTTCGAAGCATGCTGAGACCCACATTCCATGCCAGTTGATCCCATAAGTTGTCCCGCGGACATCATCCTGTATCTGGGTTGTGACATCTTCCCCGTTTTGTATAGTAGAGCCATTTTCACACCTGCTGCCCCAACAGAAGCGGCCCAACACGCACACACATACACACACAATATATATATATATACATACATAATTTGTGTGTTTATGTATGTGTATATATATATATATATATGTATATTGTAAATATATGTAAATAGAAGTAAATAGGTTCTATTGGAAAGACTGGTTTCTTCCTGCACCACATTTTCCTTTGCATCAGCATGTTCATTGAAAATTGGGGCTTTTTTACCGGGCAAAATCTTGTCCCGACTCAACGACTCAAGCTATTCCCAAATTTCGATGATTGGACACACCAAAGCCCTCAGGACCTGGAGCCATTTGGCCAAAGAAAAAACAGTAAAAACATCTATGGTAATAATTTAATAATCTATGGTATATGTAAGAATATTCTAGATTCTTATAATCCAATTTATGTAGAAACATATAGAATATTATAGAATCTAATAATCTATGGTAATCTGTACAATTTCCAAAACAAATTTCCAATATCCAATTTCCAGTTCTACCAATAATAATCTACCAATTTTGATATAACCGAAAACTGGAAATTTCCAGTGGTAGAACTGGAAATCACTAATATAGTATAGAATCTAATAATCATTAACAATAGTCAATAATCACTCATAATCATGAATCATCATGAATCATCTATTAATCATCATGAATCATCAATAATCATTCATAATCACTAACAATGAATAATCATTAATAATCTATTAGTGATTATGGTGACTAAGTTTGGTTCATTAGTCATCTATTGGTTCAATTTGAATGCCATTGACCCGTGAAAACCATCCAATTCCTCATCAGGGTGACCTCAATACCCGCGTGGACGCCTCCCGGGACGACGTGGATGCCTGGTTGGCCGCCAAGTCGGGGGCACCCGGCGACCGTGAAACGTGAAGCGTTGAGGACGGGAGAACTGAGTGGGATGCAGTTGATAGATTTCGATAGATATTTCATGGATATGTCGTTTTTTTTGGAAAAATTGTAGAACTATACCATGAAATATCTATGTTTCTTGGTGATGAACTGATTTGATCATATTTTCACTGGGCTTTTGATGGTAGAAATATCATGAAATATCTATTGTTTCCATAGTTACTAGTTAATCGGGGGTTAATCCCTTTCCAGGTTCATCTCAAAGACAGTAATTTGAACAGGTTCAATTTATCACTCACTCAGTAATTTTGCGGATTGGTATCGTAAAATCCGGATTGCTATCAAACTTTAATGACCCATATTTATTGTCCAGTATTGGATCTATATTTGGCAGCGAAGGCTATGGGTCAAACTTGGGTACTCCAATAAGTAGATTACCCTCTGGCAAACTAGCGTAACTATGGAAAATCACAATTTTTCATGGGTAAAGCGGTAAAATCTACTATTTCTATGACCATTTTCAATAGCAAACTGTTAGTTTACCAGAGGATAATACCATTAAAATCACCATTTTTGTTGGTTAAAGCCCATTAAACCACCATTAAACCACCATTAAACCACCATGATTAATACAAAACCAACCAACTAAGGTCGGTGGTCCCATAGGGAGGGACGGCCCATGGGATCCAAGGCAATTCGACCGCTGTATGGCGGCCGATCAGTTGCTGCCTCTACTGAAAGGCGATTCAGGCTGGGAACGTTGGGATTTACCATGGGTTTACCATGGATTTAATAGATGTTTTCTTATTTTCATGATATATATGTACATATATAATATTGTATATATATATAATATATATATATATATCATGGATTGATTATATGGAATATCATGGTCCCATTGAAATCCCGGAAAAAACATGATTCCCTCAATCGCCAAACTCCGGCAGAGGTCATGCCAGCCCGTGTGGCCTTTGGCCCGACTTTCAAGAGGCCGGGACACGTTCGACTGGGCAACTGGAGAACGATAGAAAGGGCTCTATGCATCAAACCACTATAGGTTGGATTTTACCTTCCCAAATGTTTTTTTTTTGGGACTGTATGCAGTATCACGTATATATATATATATATGATGATGTGATGATATTGTTGTTGTTGTTGTTGTTGTTGTTGCTGTTGTTGTTGTTGTTGTTGTGGTTGTGGTTGTGGTTGTTGTTGGTTGTTGTTGGTTGTGGTTGTTGTGGTTGTTGTGGTTGTTGTGGTTGTTGTTATTGTTGTTGTTGGTGGTGGTGGTTGGTTGTGGTTGTGGTTGTGGTTGTGGTTGTGGTTGTTGTTGTTGTTGTTGTTGTTTGGTTGTTGTTTGGTTGTTGTTGTTGTTGTTGTTTGTTGTTTGTTGGTTGTTGGTTGTTGGTTGTTGGTTGTTGGTTGTTGTTGTTGTTGTAGTTGTAGTTGTATATATAATATATATATATAATATATATATATATATACAGTATGAAGTACATGTATACAGTATATATGTAGTCCATGTATACGTGAAGTTTAACCTATCGATCTATATCTGGTTTATAGCCCATTTGTGAACACGTCGAGACTTGCCATGGTTGCCATCCACACACTGGGTGCTGGCTGACGGTTTTGCAGTGGTATTCTGTATGTTCTTACCTGAAAATTCAATGGAATGATGATCCATGATGTATGATTATCCCAAAGCGAAGATTTTTTGCACTTATACACGTATGAACCTCCAACCAGTCATGCCGCGATGTCATGTTCTGGGATTGAATCAGGCGCAGATCAACTTTCCACCCACTTACAAGTTCGACAAATACTCCGTTCGTCCCTTAGGGTGTGGGTACCAGCGGGTACCAGCGGGTACCCCTGGCACTGGATGCTGACCTTGAATTTGGATTTTCCCATTGATTAAGGCAGTATGGC